AAAGGAAACCTTCTCATATGGGCCTCTGTATGTGATGGAACATCTTTGCACTTCCATTTGCACTTCCATTTGCACCTCTAATGAATGAATGAATGTGTGTGTGTGTGTGTGTGTGTGTGTGGGTGTGTGTGTGTGTGTGTGTGTGTGTGGGGTGTACGTGTTTGAAGCGTGAAGGGTCTTATGAAAGCCGGATAAGGTCACTTAATGATGTCAGTGAATGCTGTTCTCTGCTCGTCTTTTCAGGCTCTTAAGCCTCCAGCGAAAGTCTCTCTCTCTCTCTCTCTGTCCTCTCTCTCTCTCTCTCCTCTCTCCCCTGTCTCTCTCCTCTCCTCTCTCTCCTCTCCTCTCTCTATCTCGTCTCTCTCTGTGCGGCTCGCGTCGCTGCTCTCTTCATCTCTCGTCCATGCAGTCATTCTTCATTCTCTCTCTCTCGAGTGCTCTCGTCGTTCTCTCTCGTCCAGTCCTCGTCTCGATGCTCCTCTCTCCTCATCTCTCTCTCTCTTTCTTGCTTACAATAACCTACAGAACGGACACCTTCGCCTTCTCACGCTCGTCTCCTCTCTTCGTCTTCCTTCCTCTCCCTTAGTTATTCTTGTTCCCTCCATCCTTGACATGAATCCAGCCGGCTAAAGTCGCCTCTGGACATTTTCTAGCAGCAGTATTTTCTTTTCATCTCACGGCACAATAACTTGAAATAATGGAAAATATGTTTAGTAGCTTCTACTTTTTTGTTTAGGTTTGCTTGGTGTCCATTATTTTAGGTTAAAATCATATTTTAGTTTTAGAGTAAAATTAACTCTTTAAAATAAGCTTTCATTCATAAGATGCACTGCCAGCAGAAGAAAGTATCATTTAATTGAATTACATATTTTCCAATGTTTTGACAGATTATTTTTAAACTACTGTAGGTTTCATTTGGTGCAAATCTGTACAGTAAGTCAGAGTCACTGAAGGCAATGATCATTTTATTTCAGTCAAGTTATAAAGACCCACATTAATTAAAATATAAGTTTGATCAGTACATACATCACTTACATGTCTTACTTCATTTTAGTTTTGATTCCTCGTGGTTTTTAGATGGCATTTTGCAAAATGAAGCAGTTTTGTTCATGGTTTGGCCCCATGTTATTTAAGAAGTATCTCAACACAAACATATTCTCTCTGTCAAGACATTCTTGGACAGGATTAATTTCAACACTGGGCTGGGCTGTTTTATTTGATAGCTTATGAATGAATAATAGTTATTAAATGATGAGTGTGGCTAAGGAATAACAATCCACTAATTGTAATATTGTGTTTCTTTAGGTCACATTTTACAAAGGTAGATCACAAGAGGATAATAAAACGGTCCACAGGGTTTTTTCTTCTCTTCATAACTTCTGTATTTTCTTAGGCTGTTTTCACTTTTTCTCAGTCTTTTTCTGTGTTCTTCCTTCAATGACAGATGTTTCAGAAAGAAAAAAAACATCTGGCTGCTCGAGGGCTACATATTGACCCTTTCATCTCTTTTCTTTTCTGCCCCCCTCCCCCCTTTTTTATTTTATCTTTTAAATATGACATGCAAGTGTGATCCTCCTCCTATTGCTAACTTGTGTATTGGATAAAACAAGGCTTACATATTCCCCCTTCCCTAAAAGCAGACTTCAAGTCATGGGCTATACTATTATATTATCTTCTGAAACAATTAGCTTGTGAAACTAATGTTGTCACCCACAATTATGTTATTACGCACAAACTCCTCTCATTTTAAATAACCCCCAGCCTCTTGTGTGTGTGTGTGTGTGTGTGTGTGTGTGTGTGTGTGCGTGTGTGCGCGTGCGCACGTGCGCTTGCGCTTGTGCTTCGGGTGATAGATGAATGTGTGTCACTGATCCATATGTGTGAGCACCAGTGTTGGGACTAACGCGTTACAAAGTAACGCGTTACTGTAACGCTGTTATTTTTGGTAGTAACTAGTACTCTAACGCATTACTTTTTAAATTCAGTAACTCAGTTACCGTTACTCCGTTAGTTTTTTTTATATAGTCAACAGCCAGCCCAGCTAAGACCACAGAGACTCAGCCGACGCCACTCCACCTCCACCTAAGCAACAGCGGCTGGATTTTAACCAAGGGACTGCTGGCCAGGGAAAAGTTGATAAAGCCATTGCACGGTATGTTGTAGAACACATGCAGGTTATTGCTACAGTGGAGTCACCCGCTTTCAGGGAGCTAGTTAGCATGATAGCATGTCCGAGCGGCACACGGCATATGGGACGGAAAACTTTTTCCAACTACCTGGAGAAAGAATATACAAAAATGGAAAGCCAGCTAATATCGATGCAATCTAGATTGCATATAATGCATGTCAAGTTGATCAACAGATTGTATTATTCTCCAATGCAATAACAGTACTGAAATGAAGGCTATAAGTCCATAAATGGGAGCCCTTTTTGTAAGTAACTAAAACGTTACTTTTCACAGTAACGCATTACTTTTGGGTGTAAGTAACTAGTAAGGTAACTGAGTTACTTTTGAAATGAAGTAACTAGTAATGGTAACTAGTTACTGGTTTTCAGTAACTAGCACAACACTGGTGAGCACTCATTTGTGACTTGTGTGTGTATAAATGTGTTTGTATGTGTGTGTGTGTGTGTGTGTGTGTGTGTGTGTGTGTGTGTGTGTGTGTGTGTGTAAGTGTGTCATCACCAAAGGCAGTATCTGAAACTCCACTTAGAAGAACGTTATATAACTTGAGAAACCGTCACTTTCTTGTGCACACACACACACACACACACACACACACACACACACACACACACACACACACACACACACACACACACACACACACACACACACACACACACACACACACACACACACACACACACACACACACACACACACACACACACACACACACACAAAGGCTACAGACATGTGCATGTGCTTCCTCCATATAAGCCCCCACAGGACACACTCACAGATGGGCACAGGAAGCAGACTCATATGCCCACTTATTATACACAAAAGTTATGTTGTGCACTTGATACGCCATGCAGCAAAAAACACTTCAGAGAGTTGGAGGACCGGAGCTGTATATGTTGACTCTAATCCCATGAGCAGCACTGCACGCTGTACCAGGATGTCCTTTCTGCCTGGATTGGGATAATACTAGGGATGAAGGGATGGAATATTGAGGAAAAGGAAGGGAGAATCCTTGAAGGAAATATGGTAAAAATTGCACTATAAATGTTAGCAAAGGCATAGAAAGAGTGATAAAAGTATGTTACAGGTTGTCACCAAGAAGTTAAATGTGACTAAACTCAGATTTGTTTCTTTAGTGGGAAAGGTTAGAATGGGCATTCAATCCCAGGGGAAATGACTGCAGGATGGGTATTTATTGACTCCAGCTCCGATTGATAGTGATATAAACATAACACCTACAGTAGGTGGACATGCTCCTTTCCCCCCGCTTTCTGGCGCTGTGCTATGGTGATGTCTGACCTATAATAAATCAAATCAAACAGAGGCAAAACCCCCCGTATCAAAACAGTCTTTGAGGCAATGAATAAAGTAGCTTTTGCCTATTTAAGTGGCTCTTAATGTGTTTTAAAACCCTGAATATGTGTGAAAATGCTGGTTGAAGGAGGCTATTACTGTAAGAATTCATTCCTAACATATATTTCCATACACATTCATTGCTTTCAAGACGAAACACATTAGTTTCTGAAACAAAGGTATATTTTTTTGTGATATAATTTCATTTGATAAGTAGTGGTAAAACAGTGGTAACGAAACCTGACTTTGGTACAATGTACATGTCAGGACAGCTGTTTTATGAATCGATTCACACAGAGAAAATGATGCACACAAGCAGAAAGACACATGTTCTCTAACCTGTGCATAGGCATTCACCCATGCATTCAAATTCATGCTATTAATATATTACACACACACACACACACACGCACACAGCACACACACACACACACACACACACACACGCCAACGCGCACACACACACACACACACACACACACACACACACACACACACACACACACACACACACACACACACACACACACACACACACACACACACAGTACCAATGTACACAGATATGCAGGTGCATGCCATATGTACATGTATGCATTTATGACACATGCAGGAAGCTTCTTTTTTGATTAAATTACTTTCTGTTTCGTGCTTGTCCACATTGTCCCAGATGTGAACACAGAAAAGCTGATCATCCCGGTGCCTCAGCAGGCTGAGTCGACTGCCATGTGCTCACATTGCTGTTCGTTCAAATCTGATTTAGGATTTCTGTCGCGTCATAACCTCAGTCACCCTGTCGTTCTGTTTGCAATTGAGTTGTTTTCCAGTAAAGAAGTTTGAGAAATAGATTTTTTTAAGTAGACTGTACAAGTGGTCATAAAAAAAGCCGTATGCTTCACTGAAACATCATCGAATTCCTCTTTAAAGTACTAGAAAATACATACATTTGGAAAAGTCGTACTTGCTGCACTGTAAACATTGTCAGAGTTCTCGTTATCTGTCCACGAATATCAGTTTCTAGATATGGCTGTTTGATTCAGTTGGTGAATAATCATTTGGTCAAAAGTCTATAAATAGTTTTGGGCCATGTTGACATCAATGTTAAAATACTGTAGTCTGTGCTGCGTGAGTCTACGAGCATCAGCTGTTTTTAACAAATTAATGCATATCCTAGAAAACTCTTCGGTGACACACACACACACACACACACACACACACACACACACACACACACACACACACACACACACACACACACACACACACACACACAATACACCTATTTACACACCTTCACTGGTGTGATCTGTCTCTACGTCCCCCCCACACACACGACAGAAAAACCAGAATGCCTAAATCTGTGTCACCCACATGGTCTACCAGTTTGCACTCAACTCTCTACTTTCACTGGGAGGGATCTCTCTCTGCTCTCTCACTATCTCCCTCCCACATGGAGTTCAGTCTCTGGCTCTCATGAAGCTCCGCTTGCTCGCTTACTCTCAGACGCACTCAGCCTGAGTCAGAGTGTGGGACAGGACAGACAGGAACACCACAACTGATCTCTTTCTTCACATACAGCCGGCAGTAGGTACCACTCTCTTTTCTTGCTTCATTCGTGTGGCTTCTTGATATTTAATTAAGATGCTCTCTTCAATCTCTTCTAACCTAACACAAGCTCTAGGCATCTATTTTGGTAATTGTTCTTAATTATTGTCCAGCATGAAGTAGCAGGGAAACTAAAATGATAGCAATTGATAACTTTAAGTTGATAACTTTTATTACTAAAGTAATAAGTAAGTAACTGTGCTGGATGGGTGGAATTGTTTGTAACTTTGAAATCTTGAATTATTTAGATACTGTTTGTTTTTGCGCACATCATGTAATAGCCTGCTGCTCCAAATGTGAGGAAAAGTCTACAAAGTATATATTTCAGCTATTGTAAACTTAACACATTTTGTATACCATTTACCTAGTGGTTGAACTGTCTTTCCATCTACATATAATATTTAAAACATCAGGTTATGCATAAAGATGTGTAGTGAAACCAGCAGTCTAGCCTCTCTGTAATGATGCTGTGATGTGAGTGTTTCATGATGAACAACAGCAAAAAGATCTCCAGTTTCAGCTTCAGATTTGTCATGGGGCAAAAAAGTCTTATTTTCATTTCTGTTGAAATCACAATTTATATTTAGGGCACTTATTGTGCTGCTTTTGGCTAATTGTATCTTAAAAACTTTATAAAATCACTGTTTTACTATGTGGTTTTGAGATTTTTTTTCTCAATTCCTGCATTCTAGTGAATTTTCATAGTAACACTGCACTTCAGACAACCTACAACTGGTGATGGTGTCTAGGTCTTTAAGTGTTAAACAGCTGAGAGCAGTCAATGCTGTTTTTTGTGGTCTTCTTTCACACACACATCTTACCAAGTGTGTATGAACATCCTCACAAACCAACAAAGAACATGATCTATGTCAAATTTAAGACAGAAAACTCCACACTGGTATCTGATCGTCAATCACCGGATAACTTTATTTTAACTATATACAAACTGGTGAAATTTAGGAGCTGGTGGGCTACCCAGGCTGAGTGACAAGGTGTCATCCAGGAAACTGAAATTTGCAGGTCACTGCCATCGACACCAGGAACTTCCAGCTGGCAAGTTAGTACTCTGGGAGCCAACACACGGGCACCGACCAAGAGGGCGCCCCACGCCAACATACGTGGAGGTGCTGAGGAAGGATGTGGGGGTGGAAAGCTCCACAGAGCTGGCCGGGTGTATGGATGACCGTGAGGATTGGCGAACCCGTTGGCAAACTCGTCTAAGGACGACCTAGTAGTAGTAGTCCTTGATTGGCTCAAGTTCACACCTTTTTAGGGCCAGGGCTAGTGATGTTGTCCCGGGGATGCTTAGGAGTTGATAAAGGAGATAATCCCACTGACGTCATCATTTGATTCCAAAAGTGGGTCTGGACTCGCGCCCATAGAGGCTGTTTACCAGTATAATGGCTCCCCCCAAAGTATAATTTATGGGTGGCTCCCCCCAAAGTATAATTTATGGTTTTTTAAGTTTTTTTTACTCACTGAGCACTCATTGCCACCAATGCAAATGCAAATGAGTGCTCACTGAGTAACAAAAAACAAAAAACACACAAATTATACTCTGGGGGGAGCCATTATACTTTGGCGGCCCCCCAAAGTATTAACATGCTGTGGGAATCACTGCTGTTTTTTACGAGTTTCGGTGCCTTTGCAGATTGCTTCTAAAAGGATCCTATCAATCTCTTTCAATCAAGTAAAGATACAAAGTAGTTAGTAAATAGCAGATGCAGTGAAACTGTAACGAGATCCTTATATAACTGTAACTTTAGTCTAAATTGACGCTTTTTGTTGGTACTGAGAAGTATACCCTCTCACTGTAATAACTTATTAATGTAAGCAGCTGGTTTATTGTTAAGTGCGTAGCTAAGTCATTCTTAACAGTCATTCATGTAATAACTCTTGCACATACTCATGCTCGCTGCTGTTTTTGTTGATGACCTTTCTGTTTTGTTTTACTCACAGAATGAGACACAGCTTCAAGGCAGATGCTTTTTTATTTGAGAAGGTGAACTAGTTCAGTTCTCTTCCTTTGCTAGAAATGGTTTGGTTCCCATGGTGCGATTGTCTCTATATAATTGTATAGCCATCCATCATGATTGGGTGCTTTAAGTTCTTACAAACTAGCATAAGAAGTTTGTCCGTTGTTTTTTTCTTCACTCATGATAAACCCTGGGAGGCACTTAATTAAATATACATATTAAGTGGCTGATGTGAGAGCTCTTAAAGTGTTCTCATAAAGTATGCTGCCATATATAAGCAGTTGCAACATTTTCTTTCATCTAGCATGCACACACACAAACAGTGGTTGTGTATTATATGGGATGGGATGAGACAGTTGTTCATGAATAATGATGGAGAAAGGGAAATCATTTGAAATTGAATATACATGTTGCAAGGCCAAGTATCCATACCAATAGTTTGGCAATCTAATTTATTTATACTGTTTGCACATACCCAAAAAGTTTACGTTTTGCACCAATTATTAATGTGGGAAATCACTCACTGGACTTTGTTTTTCATCCATCCTTTTTTATTACAGTCTATATGTTCTTTCAAGTTACAATGATAATTATGTGGTTCGGAAGAGTGTCTTCATGTTCACTGTATATGTTGAATATATGGAGAGCTGATTTTGTTGTGATTTTGTTTGTGATGAGAGAAGCGGGACATTTGTCTTGGGATCCAAGCCATCCCATCACATAACACATTTACTAACAACAATGTCTTGAAATGCTTTAATGTCTCTCTGACAAAGCGTGGTGGTCACCTAAGCAGATTTAAATAAAGATTGAAGAGGCTTATTTGGTCAAAACTAGAAGGCATTTGAAGCAAGATGCAGTGGCCATGTGGTGTCAGATAACCATGTGGTGTCAGATAACCTCATGTCATGTCACCAGAGATTTGACTCCTCTTTTAAAATAGGTCAGTAATAAAGTATTTGAGGTTAAATACCTCTACCCCCCTCTGAATGTAAGCGCTTTAAGCACCAGGAAAAGCGCTATATACATCAAATGTATTATTATTAGTATTAAAGACATTATATGACTAAAATAAGCACTTACTGAGCTTTAGCAATAGGTTTGTGATGATGGGTTTCCTTTGTAATATTTAGTGGTAACACAGGTAAAACTATAGGTTACTTACGTAACCCCAGTTCTCAGAGTAACATGAAGTGAGATGTCTCACTATGGGATGCGCCTCATCGCGGAGCAAACAGAAGCATCAATCTCATTACGCCAATCCTCATTGGCTGGTGATCTTGACGTCAGCGTCAGGGAATTCACCCCCTATAAGTAGCTTGCGCCACGACGCATGCGTCATTCAAAATAAGCACCTCTTCTCGCTTCACCATAGCAAGGAGGGCCGTCTGGTGAGACATCTCACTTCATGTTACTCTGAGAACTGGGGTTACGTAAGTAACCTATAGTTCTCATTCATAACACTCCGTTCGATGTCTCACTATGGGAAATTGTAGCTCCCGTATTGTCAGACGAGCTTATCTCGAAAATCACCAAACCAACCAGAACTTAACAGGTAGAGCTCTGACTCAACCAGGTGCCCAGCACTGCTTGAGTCACACTGGGAGCAGAACGTCCAGCCTGTTAAGAGGCGGACAAAAGTGAGCGGCGAGGACCAGCTCGCCGCTGCACCAATGTCTTGGATGGGAGACATCCTGGACAGAGCCCAGGATGCAGCCAGACCCTGAGTCGAAAGAGCTCGCGGACCCGAGGCTGCCTGCGAACTCTGACTCGTATGGGCCCCAAAGCAATTGCTTCCACAAACCAGTGGGAGAGCCGTTGCTTAGTAACAGGCTTGCCCTTATAAGGGTTAGCCCAGGACACAAGGGGTTGGTCATTATGACGAAGCACCCTTGATCTGTCCCTGTACGTGCGTAAAGCACGGGCTGGACACGGCAAATCCGGCCGCTGTTCCCCGGAGGAATACAGTGGCGGGGAGGATGCCTCAATGTCAAATGTGGTACCTGAACCAACCGCCTTAAGATAAAGGCAGGGTTGGGCTTCAACCACACTCTGTTTGCCCTGGGGCGAACTGAGTGCATGAAGACTGTACAGATAGCGCATGAGTGCCACTGGCTCGCTTGGCAGCTGCCAGGGTCAGCTTCATGTCACACTGTATTCAGATTGTACCACTCACGGGCCAGGCCCATAGAGCCAAGCGCTCTGGGTGTGGGTGAAAGATCGCCCCCCCCCCCCCGCTTGGGACAGTATGTCTCTGCGTAGTGGGAGCTGTCATGGCTGCCCGCACAGCAGCTGATATATCTCCGCTAGCCAGTACATAGCTGGCCAGTGCGGAGCTATCAGGATAAGTGTGTGGCGTTGCTCTCTCACTCTGGTCAGAGTTGGGGGTATCAGAGCCAGGGGTGGGAACGCGTACAGAAGGCCCGGGGGCCAATCGTGCGCGAGTGCATCCATGCCTAACGGTGCATTTAGATCGCGCATCGAAAAGAACAGCTGACACTGAGCGTTGTCTTTCGATGCGAACAGATCCACCGCGGCTCTGCCGTAACGCACCCACAGCTGGCTCACAATCCTTGGATGTAGAGTCCAGTCTGCATAAAGTGGTATACCTCTGGACAGTAGATCTGCCCCGAGGTTCATCACTCCCGGTACGTGCGTCGCTCTCAGAGAGAGGAGACGTCTACCGCTCCATAGGATCAGTTTGCGCGCCAGTGTGTGTAACTGGAGAGAACGCAAACCCCCTTGGCGGTTAATATACGATATTGTGGTCGTATTGTCTGTCCTCACGAGGACGTGATGTACCCTGAGGAAAGGCAGAAAGCGTTTTAGGGTGAGAAACACCGCTAAAAGCTCCAGGTAATTTATGTGCGCCCGCTGGAGGTCTCTGCTCCAGAGACCCCTCACCGGGCGACCTTCAAAAATCCCTCCCCAACCTGTCAGACATGCGTCCGTGGTGACCATTTTCTGTGAAAGGACAGCACCCATAGGCACACCTCGTACTAG